CTATATTATACAGGATGTTCCAGAACTAGTGTTAGGCCTTGAAATGTGGAGGAGCCATGGTGATTTTAAACAACTTTTTCCTTTGCAAAAAAGTTATCCGAGGCGTGGTTGTCGAGTTATTAACAAAAATTACCGACCAACCAGAGCATTCGTATACAAGGCGGGCAGGAGCACTATAACCGCCTATACTACCTACTATAACCGTAAAAAATAGAATGAATGGAAGAAATGGAATGAGGAGCGCGGCGACAAGACCACGCGCGAATCGAGTATCGATACTCACAATCAGCAGCGAAGATGTACGTAATCGCGAACGCACTATAGCAGCGATGCTCGCATTCGGCTCGCACTGCCTCGCAGCAGTGGGGCAGCGTTACCAGATTTTTACCCACGACGCTCGCTTCCCCTGTTTTTCGCCCGTATTTCGATCCCCACTACTATTCCCCTCATGCGTGCTCATGCGTGCTCATGCGCGTTCGCGAAGCTCTCCGCAGCGGTATGGTCCCCACCATGGTCGCGTCGTCCCCACTTTGCGGCCGTGGGTAAAAATCTGGTAACGCTGCAGTGGGGGCCGCCCGCAGTTTTTCATGATGTTACAGGCCGTGCCGCAGTGTTACAGGCGCTCCGCAGTGTGACGGGCTCCAGGCAGAAAGGTATCATGTTCGCCTTATCGCAAACTGCGGTTAGCCCAAGCTGCGAGGAGATCGGCCCGTCTTTCCGTCCTATACAGAACTCTGGGTCAATGTGCCGAAACTCGGTACTTGAAGATAAAACACATGGGTAGCAGTGATGTTTAGAGCAGGTCACTGACAGATATGGTCATGTGTTTTAGTTTCGAGTGTCAGACTTCGGCACATTGACCTACTGAAATTCTTCTTCTTAAAGAAGGACGATTAAGTTCAACTCTAATTCTCTTCCCATTTTTTTATAATTTTAGCTACTCTGTAATTTATACAGTTGTTTGTAATGCATCTCTGTAATTTGTAAAGCAGTAACACTAGTTCTGGCACACCCTGTATATAAGTATGTAAACAATGTACGACGAAATTATTATCAGTCCTATGCACTTCAGAGAAAAGTTAAATAATATGTTATGCCACCTGCCTTGGCGAGATTCTTAACCGAGCCGCATACTTATGTTGCCTATGTTGATATTTAATTATCATTAATTTTCCTTTTGACGATACAACAGATAGAACTACTCTGACAATTTATTCGATTTTGTTAAAATCGTTTTTTAAAGTATGTGTCCATTTGTGAATAAAGTATCGAGAGTTGCATTTAACCATCGGAGAAATGTTATTGCAATACTGAATTCTTTAGTATTCTGAGAGTAGTTATCGCAAAACTTAATATCAATAGTTAGTAGTACTATTTATTAAAAACCCGTTTAGAATGTTTCATAAAGAGTAATCGACAGATTGAAACATTTGACTTAATTTCAATATCTAGGGAACATCAAATGTTACAGGACAAGAATATGGAACTTGCATCCTTGTAAAATCTTCCGTGCGGCCGTATTTATTTCTATATTAGGGTACAAAAACCCATTTACTGTGACTTACCGAATTACTGTCATTTTAAATTGGTTTTATTTAAAACAACAAATAAACGTTATGAACTTATATAAAAACATTTGCGTAAAAAATCTCAATAGTTAACTTAAATTAAATTATCTTTTAAAATAATACAGTTATTTTCCCCATTTATTTACGAATAATGCACAGAGTGAATGTAAAATCATTGCAATCAATTTTCATTTCAATAACAAGTTGTAAGGTTATTTATTGTCCTTATAATTATAATATCTTTTAAATATCGTCTTAGTATACAATGTAGATCGATGTATTATTATGAAAATATTGTAAATTATGTATGTTTTACTTCGTAAGTAGAGGTTCAAAAGATCGATGCGGCCTTTCCACTGTTTCAGAAAATGAATAAGGCCTTTCATACAAAAAAGGGTTCCCTAATTCTGTTATAGAATATTAAATACATCTAACCTAGAAATTCCCGAAGTTACTCGAAGGTATGAATACGCAACGTGAGAGCACATTCAAAAGTAACTCTTGGGAGAACCTCTTAAATGGACATGTTCCTTTCTACTTAATTGTTCGGAGAGAATAATGGAAAGTCTGCAAAGTTCGCAATTGTGTCAAACATAAAATTTTTAGGAAATTCCAATACAATGTTGTAAAGGGTATAATCAAAAAAGTTAAAAGTACTCTTAAACTAAATTAATCTTGTTAACTGATAACTTTCCTCCTTTTATCAAGCTTTGTTCCATGTAACGACCTGCGTGTACATACAATATTTGCAAATCAAAATATGAAAATTTTATAAACTTATAAAATATTAACTTTTACTTTACAAGTAAATGTACAGTTTATCTTTAATTTATAATTAGTAATAAAGTAGTCCATCATATTAAATGTGAATTTTGTCTTAAAAATATCGGACCAATGATTAAAGTATCAGACCAATAAAAAGTCAAATTGAAGCAGATAGTTGTTTTGTTTCGTAGAAATTAACAATTAACGGTCGATTAATGACAGTGGCAAACGATAACAAGAATATAATAATAAATCGTATAAACAGATTGGTTGTAGCGAGTAGGAATACGAACGTTCCTAGAGGATTAAAATTTACGGGACACCGACGAGCTTTTCGGAATTCATGGGCTGTAAAGTCGAAGCACGAAGATGTATGATCGCTAACGTGAGGGTCAACATAACGTATCCTAGGGACATGCTGAATCAGAGAACAGTAGGGGAATAGTAGGGTGAAAAGCGCACGTAGGTAGAAGAAAAGGGTCGTTAAATTGCAGAAAGTATTGGGAGCGAGTCGTTTCACCTAACGCGTATTGGATCAAATAAATCTTATCTTTCTCGTACGTTTTATCGAGCCGGTTTTTATGGTAACCGTCCTACCGTTATATTTTTTTTCTGTAACCAGCGGCGCGATTCTGTAAATTTCGTTAGACATCGTGGTATGTAGGTTCGAAACCATTCCGGAAAATTGGTAACATCACCGGCTTTCATATTTCAGTTTCTTACAGCTTTCATACTTACAGTTTCAGGTAGAACAAATTTAAGTTTTCACTATATCTTGTAATATAAAGTATTGTTAAATATGACACCGCTCACTTTTTATAAATGAGCTATATATATTTACGAAAATTCATATTTGGAAAGAAGCAAATAAAAGAATAAGACGTTTACATACATATAGTCTAGGATTTATTTTATTTTCTGAAACTATCAAAAATGTAGAATACTCTCTCGGGAAAGAGAAGGATGTTAGAAAAAAAGAGTGGACAATGATATTGTCCGCAGCTTTTAGAAATAGGAAGAAATTTTATTTACAAAATATTTATATTAACAGTCACAATATGTCAGAAGTAATATTTTATTACTCACAGATAAAAGCTCTCTCGAAATATTACATATTTGCAATATAATGTCAACAAGATGTCTATAAAAGAAAAATTACGCAAGATGTATGTATGGAAAAATGGCTTAATACCACCAGTTTATCTGACTCAGGTGCAGTGCTTGCGGAATATCAGCAAACGTCAGTATGAGAGCATTGTTTAATATATCTAGCTTGTGTCTTTCTGACTTTGAAATGTAACTGTGACAATATAAATAGGGAGGATAAACGTTTCAGATTTCCGATTTCCGGATACAACTTCTATTTTGGAGTACGTTTTACTACTTCATTAAATACTGACGCATAAATGTTACGATATTATATACCATGCAAAAAACAAAGAAAGAACAAACGTGTGAATAGCATTTTAACAGAGAGACTGCAGGCATTAACGTAAAAGAAAAATTCTCGTCCTACGATAATTTGTTGTTAAGGAATAATCTTCCAAACTTCGACGATTATCAACACAAATTTCGTAATGCTATAATTTTTGTGTGAAGTACATATAAACAACTACAAGTTTTCACAAGCTTAGTAGCGGAGAAACAATGCGAGTATTGTTGCGAACATAAAGAATCCTCGCTCATAAAGGATGTTAAAATTTTATTTTAACTTCTTATTTTAACTATTATATTTTCAAATCTGCATGCAATTTTAAACGCCACAGACTTTTATTTTCTACAAATGTGAAGTATATGTGTACCTATTGTATAATAGATATGCCTTCAGGAAACACTATTATTATTGCTGTTGTTTGAAAAGACTCATAAATTCAAATAGTATTGTGTAAAATTTTCGTAAACACTACATGTTCCTTTATATACTCCCGGTTGTGTACAGTTAAATCGATACCTAATGCGTATGCGTACAAGCTACAGCAAACGGCATAAAAATCAACGCAGTAGTATAAACTCAATGCATTCTTCATGTATGCCGGTATGAATGTCACGTTCTCGATGATATGTTATTTAATAGGAGTATAAATTCGTGATCCATAGTGTGAATTTTTTTAACCATAGAGGTATACACGTTCAAAAAAAAATTCAAAATATCTTTGGATATAGGATAATAAATGCTCCTAACTTTTAGAGAGTAAAATTATAAAGTATATCATTATTAATTAATTATTAAGAACATGTTTATATGTCAACGTAACTAAATTATATTTTTAAAAATGAAACATTTGATGAACGAATTTAGTTAATTCTCAGTTTGTAACTTTTTTTTAGATATATCATTTATACAAAATTATCTCAATACAGACTAATATACGTATTCACTGTACATTCATATTTAATTTGCGATTACGTCCATTCGTGAGAAATACAGATTTAACGATCGAATTGTATTTGTACGTATCGAATCGTCTTCTCTACTTTGAAACTATAATAGACGAAAGCTGTTTGTAAATTAAAGAATGTAGGCAGTAGTGAAATAAGTTAATTTTTCAGGAAACATATGTGGATTGTGGATGTACGTGTAGTATTTGCTTTGTGTCGTAAGCAATCGATTTCGTGATCCGCTGTTGCGTACCTTAGTATAGAGAAGCTCTCTCGAAATACGGCGAAAGTGATTGTTGAGCAGCCAGTAGAGGAACGGATTCCAGAAGCTGTTGGAGAGCGCGAGCCACGTGGCGAGGAAGTCGAGAAATGGCGGCGGTTTGCTTCCGGTACAAGCTACAACGACTTCCTGAATCGTCCATGGTGTGACCATAACAATGAATCCTAAACTCATTGCAGCCATTGTTCGCGAGGCGGCAGTTGACAGCCGTCTCTCGTGAGCTACGAGCTGAAATATGCACACGATGAGTTCGTATAAAATTTACCAGCTCTCTTCAATTTAGCCCTACTACATTACGTCTAATGTTTAAAACTTATACGAATTAATTCAAATCTTTCTCTTAAAAAATGATTGATTAACTCAAAAGTCCAAAAGTACACGAATGAATTATTTGAAATATGCACAATTGTCGCCCTTATGCCAGAATCATCAATTTATGAGCGAATCACTTCTGGAAACTCACAGTTGAATTCCATTTTGACATGCTAAATAGGACAATAATGTCATGTTCATGAATCAAATAGAGATTATAGTTATTATTGTGCAACGCATATGGAAAGGCATTCAACAAGGAAAGAAAAAATAATAGTAATACAAAGCGATCAAAATTTTTATATGTAATGCATTTTTGTAAATCAAGGTATTATGACACAACGTCAAAATTTTGGGTTCACTACATATGCATAATTCATACATTGTACTACAGCGCATCTGATAATGTGCGTAATTGATAATATTTAATACAAAGTAAACTGTATGTGAATGTCATCATACGAGTCGAATAATCAATAAGACTTTGTATGACAGCATAGTATGCTGTTTACTTTGATAATTATTGTTATAGAATTGCATAAATTGAAAATCATAATAATATTGAATTATATAACGTTACTGTAAATTAATAATAATTATTATGCTAAGGTGGAATTAGATATTTATTTAAAGCATAATATTTTATAATACTGTAAAACAAAATAAAAAATTACAGCTAAAGTAATATTCAAATCAAATCTTATCGGGTGAAATTGGTTACATAGTATTCAAAAAATGTTTTACGGGAAATCATAGTTATATCATCCATTCAGAAAAGAACGTTAAAAACATGAATTAAATATTGCACGTACTGGCCCTCGATAAAATCTATAGGAACATGTCAAAGTTAACTCGGAGAGACGTCCGAGTAAAGAGGTTTAAGGAACGTGGAAGCTTGCCCACATAAATGATGCAGAAGCGTACCTTCTGCTAATATTTGTAGAAAAGTCCACACACAGGATGGAAACTTTATACCGCATGTGTTAAAAGCATACTTTAAGCTTGGAGCAATTACCTTGCCTGATTGAGTATGACAAATGAACGCAGATGACCATCAACGAACGCGATCCAGGTGTTAAATAATATGCGCATACATCAAAGGAATTGAATTCGTGATTCTATGTTGTGAAAGGAATAATCGAACAGACATTGGTTTCAAGATCCCCTGCCCAGAATAAATCAGCATGGCTATGTAAAATAAAATTAATGATTAATTACGACTATATGTACATTTGTAAAAAGACAATTTTATTTTGTGCGGTACCTATAAAAATATTTTATATTATCTTCTTTTGTTTTTCAGATTTAAATCCAGCTTTATCTTTTATACATATACATATGTATAATACATATATGTATATAAATTCATATCCAATTCATCCACTATGTGTCTCCACCACGACACAAGTGGCTCACAAACGTTAGCGTAGAACCACTTGCGGGAATAGTGGATACTCGGCTTTAACGAACGAGTTACAAGGAGGCAAGCGTGGCCAATTCGAGCAACACCTACATCCCTGGCTAATTGTCGCAATCCAATCTCGAGACGCTGCCAAGACATCTATACATTTAACCAGGTATTATTGCGCCTCCTACAGCACTTACACAAGTATATATCCTAGGTGTGGCAGGATGTCTATGTCGACAAGATAAAAAAATAATTTTAATTTGAAGAAAAAATATATATTTGGGAAATTAAATTAAAAGTGAGTATATGCATCAAATTTGTAATTATATGTATTCATATACAACTTATCCACAAAAATATTTTTAATAATATTTTTCGCTCTGTTGGAATTTAATTATCCTGATTATACGAAATAGTAAATTTAAATTGTATTTTAGTTTATATTTTACATCTCCAACAGAATACAGATGAGTATACCTTTAATCTTTTCAATGAAACCATTAGGGAATTGCTGCTGATAGATTTCTCTATTAATTTATGGTTAAAGGAGAAGTCCAATCAGACGTTCAACGATACAGAGCGTCAAATAAGACACGACCTTAACGTCTAAAAGGTAGGACATCTACTGGTCTTTTAGACCAGCTTGACACGGTTCTGAAAGTCGCAAAGCGCTAAGCTCATCAGTGTCAAAGCCTCTCATCGCGCAGCAGTAAAAGGATTACGGATCTGCTCGTTTAGATGAATCCTTCCTCCTTGGCTCCATCCTGACTCTCCCTTTTTTCTCTGTCACTTGTTCTTTTACCTTGTACTGCTTCCTGTTCTTTTCTTCATCCCCATTCCTACTTAACTTTCTCTCCGGCCTGTTTCATTCATTTGTATTGCAAAGAACTGCGTTTCCCATTTCTGAATTAAACCTCCTTCGTATAATGTACTCAATATTATAAGATAGAAGAAATACTCTGATCTGTAATTTGAGTTTAAAGTTTTTAATCTATTTCGATTATGAAATTATCGTAATAAATTATAGATTATAAATAATATGAAAGTACATATAGCTTTGTATATACATATTTATTTGTTTATATATTAATTAATTAATAGTAAATAATTAAATAATTAATAGTAAATTTTTTTAATTTTTGACAATAACGGCATACATTTCCGTGGCTGAAACTTGTTGACCGTTCCTCTATTCCAATAGCGCACTAATAATAGAAGCACGCCAAGGTTTTAAAACAAGAAATAACTTCACAAATGAGATAGAGTTTAGTACTCTCTACTTTGAGTTTCCCCAAATGGTGGAGATAGGATAGCTCGAACCGTGAATACCACATCTAAACCTTGATATTTTCGATATTAGAATATTTTATTTTTTTACAATTTCATGATTGGTACAATAAAAAATGAAATTGAGTTTTGTTCATTGCTTTTGATTTGTTACTTGCATTATGTTATTTTAACATGTGGTTAATTATTTACATGTAGTAGATTTATGAACTTTACTTATATGAAACTGTAGCGTTATCAGTATCAAGTGTTTAGAATGTACAAATATTACAATTTAATCAGCGTGGGAAATTTAATTAAACTTTCAAATATATGCCTTAATTTAATTCTTCTATCGAGGAAAGATAGAACAGAGTGCAGTTAAAGTTCTGAAACACGTGCACGATGGCCGTTTAAATATTATAGATACAGATAAGAAATTGCGATAGCCTAGCTTGATTAATTTATTCAAGTTTAAAATAAAAAGATTTAATCCAATAATTCCATCAATCCCTATTTAAAGCGTGTTTAGATAAAAGAATCTACTCGTTTGAATAAAAAACGCATTCGTGAATTACTTATTGTTATTAATAATTGTTTCCAGTGCTTGTTTGCTTGGAAAACGCCATTTTTATCGTATTATGAATTCTCGTTTTAAATTTGTTTATTCGTCTGATGACAAATGAAGTGAAAAAGATTTTACAATAAGTATACGAATATTCTATAGATATTGATCATTTTCATCTTGTTGTATTATGAAATGGCTGAAACTTGCCAGTCGAATTAACTAAAATTACACAAGTTCTGCATGCGTCACTCTGAAAGCAATCCGTATGCGGGAACCTAACTCGTGCAGCAATTACACGCTGAAAGGGTATGAACGTACAGACCGGCGCGCGGCGTGGCGCGGTGTCCGCTCCATACTAATCGTGAGTGCAGTCCGGAAGTCGGAAGGAGCAGACGCCAGACCCGCACACGATCAATAATATTATATGTATTTGACAGTATTGACAATATTATAGATTACGGTAAATTGGAAGTGAGTGACAATATTCATGAATTTAAATGTCTGTGTGCCTTTGCATTAATACATAACCCTTTGCATCCCGGACGTTACCTACCCGGCGCTATTTTGTCGCAAAAACCTGCACTTACAAATCCTCATATTATACAGTATAGCTTTGGAACCAAATGAGGTATTATAATGATATTTGCGTTATATGAATTTGTAGACATTAAGAAACATATATTTGCAAAAAAGAACATTTTATTTCTTATAAGAAACAAAATATTTTAAAAAACAGCGTTTTATTTCTTATAATTTTATATACAGTATAATCAATTTTGAAAAACCTCATATACATCTAAAGTCAATGTAAAGAGCGAAACGAAAGTATGTATGAAAACTAAATACAACAATGTCATTAATGCGATCTTTCTTCATGGTAACAGTGTGTCAGTTTGGACATTATACGAAGATGATACGTCAAAGCAACCAATGGTTTCAGGTGAACGATATGATCGTCGTGAAAAAGTAATGGCCGAAGTATGTTAAAAATGCTTATGTCCTCTTTTTAGAACGGATATAGTCAGAGAATTCGTGGCAATTATACTCGCGGATCATGATACAAGTTATTCTATCGCTGAACTGTACACTTCTAAATAATGTACGGGTTCGTATATATTATCTATCTATTAACAACACTAGCTAATAAAATGCTCCTCATACTTTTGCTCTATTGTGCTGCTAGTTTACATTAATTTCATAATTTTCCAAATTTCATCGAGTATAGGGACTAGGCAACTCAGGTTTATTTGGATTTATCTAAAATTATCAATATAAATAAAAAGAAAACTTGACGACTTACATTGATTTGATCACTTTCCCGAACTGGTTTTCACAGGAATAGACATTGTTATTCCATAGGATAAAATTATTTTCATGCTTTTATTTATATTCAAACTTGTCCAGTTATTTAACTTTTTATGAAAATGTCAGTTTTTATTGAAGATTCAATTATTGTCAAGGTTTTGGTTCTAACATTCAGAGCTTTTGCATACATCAATCGTGAATTGATTGTGAATTTATAAGAATATTTATTTTATTATCTTTCAAGTACACATTATTGGAATAACATTAACGGAATTTGTTCCTAATATAATTAGCTATCATTTTAGAAAATTGTAAAATCTTGATGCTATATTTTCCTTGGTTTCTTTTTCAATTTTATCATTGATTAGATTTCTTTTAGATTCATATTTCGCACTGTTTTTCCGGGTTATCATTAAAACACAGCAAAAGAAACATCAGAAACTTATCAAAACCTGTTATGAAAGTTACGAGACTACCCTAGCACTTTAAACTGAGTTCATTATAAAAATGTTAATTTTTTACTTCAAAAATACATTTATTCTTATAGAAACATATTTACACAACCATTAGAAATGTAAATTCAATGTATATTTATTTCTATGAATAATATGCAATATCTTGTAGTCCATAAATATACATGTATGTAATATAATAAGATCATAATCAGGTTGTTTATTTCTTTCAAGTTAATATCATACCTCTTATCATGTAACATGGAATGTAGCATAGTACTAACAAAAATATGTATTATTCGATCACATACCACAAAAATGACAAATGATTGTCGAGGTATATGTACGTGGTTATTGGTCTTCTGAAGATGTATATTCCCTGATTTGTTTAATAATGTTTAAAACTTCGCTTCTGAATTCTAATTTCTTATCAAGCGTGAAAGTTCTCATTATTGGAAGTAATGAATGGAAGAAAGCTTTATCCTCATCGACGATGGACGTAGTTTGTGGATAATAATTAAGAAGTACAAATGCTTCATTATCTTTCTCAATGCTTCCGTACGATTTAACTTTATTAACATTGGGGAAAGGCACCTGTAATCCTGTAATATCCTCTTCACCCTTTACATTTGAAGTAGAACATGAAATCGATTCGTTCAATATGGATTGCACAGAAACAATTATAGGCGTTTCGTTGCTGTGCTGTTTAAAGTTTTTCTTAGGCAACGATTTCTTCTTTTGTTTATCATTTAAAATTGGAAGTATTTCATAATCAAGAATAACATCCTCTAACGCGAGTAAAAAAGACAGCTGGGAAGCATATTGTAATATCCGCCAGAACGCTCTGGTAGTGCGCGTGCCGAGCGTAGTGGCGCTAGAGTTGAGTGAACGAGAACGAACACGTATGGTTTTAAGACGAAGCGACACGAGACACAGGGATAACCGCCGAAGTACCAATTATATTTTATATTCTTCTTTAATAAACATAATTAACCAGTTATCAGTATATATATTCTCGCTCCCGTACACAACAAGTGGCGACGAGGACAAAAAGGAGTGGTCAGTTCCTTCAAATAAGTTAAAATAAGGATCAAACCACAGTATCGGTCAAAGAAAACCGTTACAACGTGCACCGAAAAATGGCGACTTTTGAAGACCAAAAGTTGCAACTGCAAAAACAAGCAGAAGAACTGAGTGCATGGAAAGCGAGGTTGGAAGAATTTAACAAAAGGATGATAGCTGAAGAACAAAGACTGGAAGAAAAGAATAAGAAATTAATGGCTGCACAGACGCTATTATCAGCGGGCAGACCGGAACGAGTCGCGACCACGATAGTAAAAGGTACGATCGGCAGCATTTCAGAATATTCGCTACACGACGATTGGACGTCGTCGTGTGAAAGATTAGATATGTACATACTGGCGAATGAAGTCAATGAAGATAAGAAGGTTTCCCTGTTCTTGACTTTACTGGGGAAGGATGGATATGCACTTCTCAGGAATTTGACGATACCAAACTTGCCGTCACAAATGTCGTTCGCAGAATTAAAGCGAACAATGAGGCAACATTTGCAGCCGGCGCCTGACCCCATGGCCGAAAGATACAAATTCAAAGAGTGTACTCAGAAGGAAGGGGAAGATATCAAAAGGTTTCTAGCAAACCTGAAAAGGCTATCAACATTCTGCAAGTTCGGCGAGAACTTGGAGAACAGTCTGCGCGACCAATTCGTATGGGAATTGTCCAGCAACACTATTAAGAAGAAACTGCTCGGGGAGAAGGATTAAGCTATCAACGAGCAGTCGAGCTCGCATTGTCCTTGGAATTGGCAGGGAAGAATGCGGCCGAGATGAAGTCATCGGGCAGTAGTGCCACAGTGAACTATGTAGCAAGCAAAGGCAGGACATCATCGACGAATACGAAGAAAGAAGATCCTAACGTAAGGTTAAACCACATAACGATAAACTGTAAATATAAACAGTACGGTTGTAACCTTTGCGGTAAAAAGGGCCATTTAAGGAATGTTTGTAAGAACAGAACTGATTCGGCAAAGGCAGGAAAATCTGGTAAAAAGGATAACGGTAAGAAAAGTAATAAGCACCGGGATAGTAAACGCGAACAACAAAATTTAGTGGCTGAAGTAGATAGAATCACCGAATGCTTAGATAACATGTTTCATTTAAGTAGGGAAGGGTGCAATACGTTCACAGTTGCGGGAGATAAACCAATAGTCGTCGAGTTATTGGTTGAGAGGTGTCCGGTAAAATTTGAAGTAGACACGAGGTCACCTATCTCCGCGATTTCAACAGGTTATAGGAATAGTTCGGAACTATTTTCAGCGTTGCCGTTGAGGAGAACGCACAGACGTTTCAAGATATATCAAGGGGACGTCATAGTACCGGAAGGTATATTAGGATTAACGGTTAGTCACAAAGGTAAAACGCGATGGTTAGAGTTGTTCGTGATACCGGGGAATAGCGCACCTATCATAGGGCGACGATGGTTGTCTGAGCTTGAAATATTGCAAGTCGGTAGCCTTAAGTTGAACAATATACAGAAGCTGACGCAATCACCGACTGTAGAGGCCATTATTAAAGAATTTGGTGAAGTTTTCAGCAATAGATTAGGGACGTATAATAAGGCTAAGTTTGCATTACAGCTGAAAGAGGGGGCTAAACCCATTTTTCGTAAGCCAAGACCAGTGCCATACGCATTACGTACCAAAATTGAAAAAGAATTGGACAGACTCGTAGAAGCAGGAATACTAGAACAAGTAACTACGAGCGATTGGGCAACTCCCATAGTACCGGTACCCAAAGCTAACGGTGAGTTAAGAATATGCGGGGATTTTAAAGATACCACAAATAAAGACTTAGTCTGCAACAGGCCCAATTCCGCGCATTATTGATTTAGCGACTCAGATGGCGAGAGCAACAAAATTCACGAAATTAGATCTTGCTAGCGCATATCAACACGTCGAGTTGGATGAAGCATCTAAACAATTAGTTGTGCTCTCGACACATAAGGGGTTGTATAAATGCAATCGTCTGATGTACGGGGTATCACCGGCTCCAGGCCTTTTCCAAGCGGAAATGGAGAAAATTTTATCCGGCATTAAGGAAGCTGTCGTGTATTTTGACGACGTATTCATTTTTGGAGAGGATCAAGTAGAACATGATCGTAATTTACGTATGGTGCTGAGTCGATTTAAAGAATGTGGCTTGACAGTCAAATTGGAAAAATGCCGATTTGATCAAAAACAAGTGCCATTTTTAGGATACAAAATTGATGGCGAAGGTTTACACGTATCTAAAGATAAGGTCGATGCGGTTGTAAAGATGAAACGACCCGAGAACGAGGCAGATCTAAGGTCGTTCTTAGGCCTTTTAAATTATTACTCGAGGTTCATAAGGAACTATGCGAAAATAGTGAGCCCGTTATATGACCTACTTAAACGGAACGTACGTTGGCAGTGGACAGCGGCTCAGGAAGATGCTTTCCAACGTGCTAAAGAAAAATTAATATCGCATGATGTCTTAGTACATTATCAAGCGGATGTACCTATCAAAGTTACTTGCGATGCATCGCCAAAAGGGTTAGGCTCAGTATTGTCGCATGTGTATCCAAATGGCGAGGAACGTCCAATTGCGTTTGCGTCTCAAGTGCTCAGTAAAGCTAAGCGTAATTACTCACAGTTAGATAGGGAAGCATTAGGATTAGTTTTTGAGGTGAAGACATTCCATCAGTTTGTACATGGCCGAGAATTTGTCCTGGAAACGGATCACAAGCCATTAACTTTTATTTTTGGACCCAAGAAAGGGCTGCCACAGATGGCCGCTAGCCGGGTACAGCGTTGGGCAGTTTTTCTGTCTGCATATGATTTTAAAAGTAAATACATAAGGGGTGTAGATAATGGTCCAGCTGATGGCTTGTCGCGCAAACTAATAACTGACTTCAAAAAGGCTGTGAGAAAGAACGAGCTAGAGGAATTTTCGTACTTAAATTTTATAAGTGAAGATGTTAAAAGCATTGATTGTTCGGTTATAAGAGACGAAACATTGACAGATCCAATACTAAGTCGAGTCTACGACTACACCTATAATGGCTGGCCTGTGAAAGTACATGATTCGTTAAAAGCATTTGATGTACGGAAAAACGAATTGACAATTGAACAGGGGTGTCTCATGTGGGGTCACCGAGTCATTATTACTTTGGTGGCCGGGTTCAGACCAGGACATCGAAAACGTAGCGAAATCGTGTAAGTGGTGTTTAGAAAATGCCGACAACCCACGAAAAGCGATGTTGCATGTGTGGAAATGGCCGGAAGGCCCAAATAAAAGATTGCATGCTGATTTTTGCGGACCGATAGATGGATATATGTATTTAGTGATAACGGACGCATACTCAAAATGGGTTGATGTAAAGGAGATGACTGACATCACTGCGGTAAGCACAATTAAAATGTTGAGGGAATATTTCTGTGTGTGGGGTCTACCTGAAATGTTAGTCACGGACAATGGCCCAACATTTGTATCTGAAAATTTTCAAAAATTCCTAAAAGAGAATTATGTTAAACACCACAGAACTGCTCCCTATCATCCGACGTCAAACGGAGTGGCTGAAAATGCTGTCCGAACGTTCAAAAGTAAATTTAAGTTACTGCGTAAGAGCGGAATAGGAAGGCAAGAAGCCTTATGTAAATACCTATTTAGCTATCGGGCGACACCGCACTGTACAACAGGGTACTCACCTGCAGAGCTGCAGATGGGGCGTAAATTAAGAACGCGCTTAAATACAATACAACCGTCCGTGCGAAATCACGTTGAGCTGAATCAAGCAAGACAGAAATTCCACTACAGGGGAAACCGGGAAGTAAGTTTCAATAACGATGACATTGTAATGACAAGGAGCTATGCAAAAGATACACCGAAATGGCAGCCAGCCACGGTGGTGGTGGAGAAACTCAGCTCAGTTACGTATAATGTATGTACACCGGATTTAAAAGTACATAAAAGACACGTCAATCAGATGATAGCACCGAGTAAGGAAGCTTCTCTTCAAATTAATAGCAATAGTAGTGCGAATTTGAAGGGGAAGGGAAGTGGGACGAATGAAGTAACAGCTTTGTCAAATTCATCGGGAACAAAGTCTTATGGAAATGTAAGCGTGGAAGAACCATGTACTGATAAGCGAGCGGGTGATATGTTAACAAACGACCAAAGTCCGAGCGAACATGATCGAAGTAGCAGCGGAGTATCCCAGCATATTAGTCAATCGGGTGAAACGGGAACTGTAACGTTGCGACGATCTAGTAGGATAAGAAAAGCTCCGGAGAGGCTTAACATATAATTTTCCTTGTCCAAAGTAATGTTAAATTAAGGAGGTTCAGGGGTTTTATAAAAACGTAGAGATCAGCATGAAATTTAAGCATATGTTTCCTTATTGCATAACAAAACCAAAATAATTTTTTCGAATTTTTCGTCCACGTTATATTGGAGAAAAACGGTTTTGAAGTTTGCTCATTTTACACGGTTTCTTATGGGATACAAATATTCTGACTGTTCAAAATAGAAAATAAAGTTGAAAATACGTAGAGAACTGAAACTTATTAATATAAATTGATAGAAAAAATAAACAGGAATCGTTTGATATTTTTATCAAGGTACGTTACCGTTCAATCTGCAGTGTAATTAACAATAATTTAGCATCACGGATTACTGCGTTTAAAATCATGGACGGCTTAGTAA